GTAGATATATATATATATATATATATATATAATAATATTCCTCATTGTCCTGCTAAAAATGGTCCATGTACATTGATAACGATGGACACATTTTGTATTTTTTGAGAGCTGAATATGGTCAATGTTACATGGTGAGATATGCATTCACAACGGATTACTTCAAATATAAAATGTGGTCAAGAGCTAGCAATGATGAATTATGTATTTGATGTCAGAGTTATCAATTTTTCATATTTAACCTTCATTTCTGATGGTACAACAGTTTGTGTTAGAGTAGAGAACATACCGGATACAGTACACATAAACATAGAAAAAGTTTTGATATACATTTAAGGAGGTTTTAGAGGTTATGCCAATATAATATGCAAACCGTACAATGGAATAAGTATTTTTATTTATCACATTAACATCACCTTGCAGTCTGTTTTGTCTGAATCAGACTGATTTTGTCAAATTCTAAATATATCTTTATTACAAATACTTTATTAAAACATCTAATTTTTTGTGTACAACAGACTTGTAGTGTTTACTAACAGTCTCCCATATTTCCTGTCATTGTTCTTTAGAGGAAATTCAATATTACTTTTCTACAGAAAAATGTTTTTGCAGACTGTTCAGCTATGTTGTCACTAGGTGTGAATATACAAGACTGTTTAGTATAAGAGTTATTATTTAGTGATCTAATATTTAATGATTATTTAGTTTTTATAACAAGTGTTAAACGTTGATTATTTTAAAAGCGATAGTTATGACAAATTTCTTTACATAACTTGGTAGGAGTTGTACGTTGTGTGTGTGTGTGGTTCAGTTGTTGTAGTATTGTTGACATAATCTTTCTCAAACCTCTTAAATTTTTCTTCCTATGTTAGTATTGTTATATCATACCATCTCCTAGTGTGTGCCCGCCAGTGGCACAGTGGTATGTCTGCGGACTTACGTTGCTAGAATCCGGGTTTCAATACCCGTGGTGAGCAGAGCACAGATAGTCCATTGTGTAGCTTTGTGCTTAATTACAAACAAACAGTCATAGTTTATAGAAAGTTCTAGGCCTCAGTTGGAAAATGTATAAATATAGGTGACAAAGTGAGTGCAAGTTAAATATAGTTCAGTCAGAGAAAAGCTAGAAAATGTGAAGTTAGCCAGCGTGTGAGTGATTAGCCTTAACGGGTGATTTCTATAATGTGTTTCATGGCTGTTTTGTAACAACAGAGATAGGAAAAATAATTGTTCTTGTCAATTGGGTTCTAAAGTAACTGAACCAGCCTGTATGGACTTTAGATGAAAAAAAAGAGACAATTATTTAAAGTTCTGGATACAACTGTGTTTAAAGTTCTGGATACAACTGTGGTAACCCACGGGGTAATGTAAGAGAATGTAATACAGATTGTTTAGTAAAAAACAGGGTAGAGAAAAATAATTTGTTTTGTCAATTGGATTCTGAAGTAATTAAATCAGCCTGTGTGGACTTTTGACAAGAAAAGATAATTATTTAGAGTTTTAGATACAACCGTGATATCCTATAGTGTAAATAATATTTGTACATACGTTTGACTTGTTTTGAATATATTATTTTAAAACAAGTGGATTGTGTGCCGTCCTTTTATTGTTCGAATTTATTGCCAACAAGACGGACACCCACTGTAGAAGAATCCCATTCCTATTCAAAACTTGTCACTAGGCCTTATTTCATAAAATTGCTCTTCTCCTTATTTTGTGCAATTTGCTGTGATTTATTCCATTTGGCTCTAAGAATTATTAAACCTTTGTCTAGATATTTCTTGTTTATCAGTATTAAATGATAGTTAAAAACCTATATAATGAAAACAAAGAAACAACAACTTACAAGTTTTATTAAAGTAAAATTTAAGATTGTACTGTCAGTGTACTTTTCAGTTTACTTAAGGAACAAAAGTTAATGATTTCAGTAAATTTGGGATAATTAATTAGATTTTACAAATTATTCCTTTTCACTTCTCAGATTATGAAGACATAAAATCAGGGCAAACCACAAAAAAATTGTTTTTTATAGAGTTGTTATTACATTATTTTGTTTGCTTGGCAGCTGGGGACTTTGGACACGCCACGTCTAGCCAATAGAATTGGACATGACCTGTTAGATGGTATGCACATGGTGACTATGCTAGCTAAAGGAACTCCTCTAACTTTCTTTGGAGATGAGTTAGGCATGGAAGATTCCCCAGACAGATTTTCAGACTTCTCAAAAATAACTAAAAAGGTGAGGTTTCAAAGATTACATGCATTCTGTGCTGTGTAAAATAACTTGTGTCAGAAACAATAGTGTCTATAGCTCTGTCTCGTTTCCATTGTGTTTGTGTTATAACAGAAGAAGAACATGAATGAGAAAACCAGCTATGATTATAATAGCCAAATGTATTAAGTACACAGTTGTAAGTCTAACACGCTCGAAGACTAGTTTGTGTATTCAGTATTTAAATGCATTTGTATTTTAACAAGTATATGCAGTATTATTTTTTTGAAGATCTTTTCTAATATAACATATGAAAGAAAACTTTTCTTTTTTAAGAAATCAGATGTTAGAATTAATATTTTGTCTCTCTTCTTCCTCCCTTTTTTTTTTGTAGGGTGGTACACAAAAGGTTGATCCCAGTCCAATGCAATGGTCAGGAGAACCATTTGCTGGTTTTACCAATAGCTCATCTGCTTCGTTACCCATGGGGCTCAACTATACATCTGTGAATGTTGAGGTAAACTTTGAGTTATGGCATAATAAACCTCTCTTTTAGGAGAGGCGTTGGCTGCTTTTGGATTCAGTCTAAATATATTGGATTTTAGAGCTTTTGGTGCAGTTGATCTCCTGAGGAATAATGTACATCAGTTAAAGAAAACATTGTTAAATCTTTAGTAGTTTCATATAAAATACAGTAAGTTTTTTTAGTTAACTGGTGTGCACCATTTATGTGTTAGTTTTCCCCATACCACTACTTGTTAGTATTTTGGTTTTAAGTACATTAGCTTGTGTATAATAACTTGTAGTAAAACAAATACCATCATAAAACTGCAATAGTTTTTCATAATTGGTGATTAAAGATTAAAATATTTTCTGTAAAAATGATTTTATTAGAAATACAAACCACTGGGAGTGAGTAATGCTTGTTACAGAACAAACAAATTTTTTTTTGAAGCAGTTGGGACTGGAGCTGAAATTGTAGGAGGCTCAGTTAATTAATGACCACAAGTTAAGCTTTGTTTTTCCAAATATCTCAAAAATATTCTCAGAACAGGAAGGTAGAGATGTTAAGATAGAAGTAATTTGGTTGGTTTATCAGTTCCTTAGTTTTCTTTCTAGTAAGCATGTCATTCTTACAATCTTATTTAGGGAGCTTGACTTGCAGTCTGTGGGTCATGGGTTTGAATCCCCGTCCTACCAAACAGACTTGTTCTTTCAGCCATGTGATTGTCAGTCCCACTATTCATTGATAAAAGAGTAGCCCAAAAGTTGGATATGTGGACTAGCTGCCTTCCCTCTAGTCTTTCAATGCTAAATTAGGGATGTCTAGTAAAGATAGCTCTCCTGTAGCTTTGTGAATAATTCTAAACAAAACAGTTATTTAAAATGTAGGGAAGTAGAGATTTTAAGTTGAAAGTAATTTGGCTTATTTATTTATTCCCTGGTTTTCTTGTAAACACATCAGTCTTACTTATTTGAAATGGTGGAGGCTATAATATATTTATAAATGTACATATATTAATCTGGTGCAGGAGGAAGATAAGGAGGATTATTCACATCTGAAAATTTTCATGAAGCTTAATAAACTTCGAGGAGAAAAAGCTATCAAGTTTGGACTGATGGAGTTTCCTGTTATAACAGACAACATTTTCTCCATGATTCGAGTACTAAAAGGAGTTCCTGGTTACCTGGTGGTGATGAACATGGGAGATAATTCCACCACTGTGAACTTCAAAGGTACAAACGAGCACCTCCCAGACACAGCAGAAGTAGAGCTTCACAGTAGTAATGTGAAGTCTGGTGCACTTACAAGTTCTGGCCATACTAAAATTCAACTAAGCAGTGTACCTTTAGGACCGAAGCAGGCTGCTGTTCTCAACATTGTTCCCAAGTTTGAATAACCAACCATTTGGTTTAAGATTAAATGTTGTTGAACAAATAGATTAAAAGACGTTCAAAAATAGAGAATTTACTTACATTTTGTTGTTAGATCTTTTTTACACTTTTTTTTTTTTTGTCTCTTGTGCTGATGATGCCTTTGCTCCTTTTTTTTTATTACTAGCTACTAATATAATAGAAAATAAATATTGCATGAAAAATATTTTGTTACTTGTGTTCATTTATTGTATGTTATATTTGCTTCATGCCCCCAACCCTGCCTTTGTGGGTCAGTGGCTAGTTTCAACAATAATAAAATCTGGGGTTCGATTTTTTATTGTGGAAAAGGCAAAGATATCCTGATGTGTCAAATAAAAAAAAATGTTCTTTGTTAGTTAATAACTTATAATAAAACATAAACTGACTGTATTATCTATCAGATTTGAGGTAAAAAGTCCAAATCAAGGGACGATGGACCCGCCTTCAAAGTTTTGCCACTATAGTCAAGGGAATAGGTCAGTTCTCACAATTAGATTTGATGGGTTTAATAACTGTAAGGTTAGTGTAAGCCATACTTCAAACTTGCAGCTATGTATACTCCATACTCCACATATACTCTGCAAGACAGAACGGCAGATGGCAACAGGTTGACCCTGATCACACTGTGTCACGTTTTCTGATCTGAGTGAGAGCTGTCATGTCCAGTATCCAATAAGCCGTCGTGGTAGCGACTTTATATTTTTAGCCACAGGGTAGGTATCTAGATATTTTAAGTAAAGCTGCTGACAAACCTGGCGACTTTTGTCAAATTGAAAATTAATTGTAATAAGTAGTGTGAAATTGTGAAGTGAATAAAAAAACTTTGCGCGTCACAGTGACCGTTAGCCAGTGGATATAAAGTTTTAAACTTCTCATTGCACTAAGTCTGCAAGTGCATGAATACGAACCCGGATGTAGTTCATCCAAGTAAATCCTTACTGTGTTTAAGACCTATATAACGCATGATTAATGTTGCATTCAACAGTAGGTAATACTTCCATTTCGCGCATAGTTTGAGTCGACTGGATTTTACGGAATTTTCTACATTTTCCACGGAGCTTGAGTGTATACCGTGTTTTTCTCTCTTAAAAATCGTCATGCGCGTGTGTCATGTGGGTCTCCTAATATGTTAAGAGGCCCTTAATAAACATTCATGGACTCGCAATAAATTTTGCGCTTAAATAATTTAGAGAAAGGTATTTACAATGTCGATAGATATGGTTCGATCCCATCAGCAGATGTAGGGTTAAAGCATGTATCTAACTATCCATTGTAATAGTTAAAGAACAAAACATTTAACAAATACAAAGGGATAGAAAAATACATATCAATCAGTCGTATTAAACGGTTGATTTCATTTATACACACTAGAGAATTTATACTAAATTGAGTATATTAATCATATGTAGAGCAGAGAAACTAATTAAACATTATTAAATTTTTAACCCTAATTTACAATTTGTGTGGAAAAAATGAAGTTATTGTATTTAAGCGTTAGCTGTTGATAAGACATGATGTACTGTAAATGTAAGAAAGGCTTGGAGCAGGAGTCTCGTTAAAAAAAATATTTTGGGGGGGGGCAGAGAAGGTGTTTACGGCCCGGTTTTCATAATATTAAAACTGCAACGAACCAGAAAAAGTGGCAGTGTGCACGAGTAAATCTAGTGTACTGAGTCCATATTTGGACATGCACTCTTTTCTTCATCTCATAACTCCCTCCTATCTTCTCCTATCCTATTGAAACAGTGGATATCTTCAAGGCTTCATTTTTGCAAACCTGGACATCAAATTCAATTCTTATTACGAATGATGCTTTAAATACCATTAGAAGCGGATCATTCAGACGAGGATTAGGCATAGAAGTCCGTCTTTAATCAAACAGAAAATATTGTTTCCGGTTGTTTCTGTATGAATATCTTCTGATTTTTAACAATTCAGGATGTGCAATTTTCAACTGTTGCAACTTATTTTATACAGCTGAAATATCTTGGCTGTTCATATTTTCCGAAAGGTGTCTCTTGGCAACAGTAATTTGAGAATACAAAAGAATATGCAAGGACAGAAAAGTGCTCAGATTTTAAGAAGTTTCCTGTATCATGAAATTGTTTTCAGAAGAATCACCTATCAAGTTCTGAAAGAAAGCTATGACGTCATGTTTAAAGTGACTTAACTACTTTGAAAAAAGAAAAGAAAACTCGCACCAATGTTTCTAATGTAGTCATATTAGGTATGGTAATGTATATAGATTGCTTGAGGAACCTTTACTCTTAATCATGCCTATACTCCATTAATCACTCAAAACGATTCCTCCATCATAGCAATGAGTAGTGCAGTTTGTCCACTTCAAGTCAGTTTTCCAAGTTTCTTTTTAAATAAAACAAGTTAAACTGGCTGCATAAAGCTTTTCCATATGATCACCTCAAACGTTCCTTTACCTTACCTTCACTAAAGTACCTTAATAAAAGGCGTTTTGTCCCATCTGTCAAAGCTGAAAATTACTCGGCTTGCACTTGTACTCGGGACTTGTATAATGGCCATACCGACGTTCAAGCTTTTCCTAATAGTGAGATTTGATTTTGCAATAAGCTGAAGCATTTCAATGACATTTCCAACATTTGAAGTACTGTGATACTCGGAGTGACCACGAAGTGATGGACCCTGCTTGCCCAAGAATGCTGTAACTTTGAGAAAGAGCTTCACGTGTTCTCTGTTTTCCTCGATTTCTTGCTGTATAACTGAGGACAAACACGATGCTACCGACTGACAAGAGCTAGACTGAATAAGATTTAAATGAAGTTATGTTTTTATGCGCCACTCGCCGGCTACTTGTTTAAACAGAACAAATATATATTTCTAGTTACGAGCTCCAACGTAAATAAAAACACTAATCTTTTCATACTGCATGGTCAGGTGGTTAGACGGCCCGACTCGCAATCTGCAGGTCGCGGGTTCTAATCCCCTTCACACCAAACATGCTCGCCCCTTTTGGCCGTGGGAGCGTTATAATGTGACGGTCAATCCCATTATTCGTTGGTAAAAGAGTAGCCCAAGAGTTGGCAGTGGGTGGTGATGACTAGCTGCCTTCACTCTAGTCTTACACTGCTAAATTAGGGACGGCTAGCGCAGATAGTCCTCGTGTATCTTTGCGCGAGATCCAAAACAAACAATCATACTGCAGATACCAAAACACGTATAAAACAAAAGCAATATACTGCATCTAGAATAAAAACTGACCAAATGTTTTTACTTAAACTTCTGCTGCTGCTGTTGGTAATAAAAGAAGCATTTAACAACTTTAAGTACAATAGGTTCAACACGTGATTACCCCCTTCTCTACTTTTGCCCATTGTTTTGCTACTTGCTCTTCTGAGCACCTGACAGTGACAGGTGTACACGACAAATTCGTTTCACCTCTTTAGGAGAGCTGGTAGACAGAGAAAGAACTATTATACGAAAAACACAAGCTTGCGAATTTAAAGTTCATAAAGTAGTTTTGGCTTTAATAACGGATTTTCCATAATTCAGCT